TGCATTTTTAACCCATTCATTCATTCCAGTCTGGGGTTTTCCCGTACTCTGAGGTGTATGTTGCTTCCTGTACTGCGCAGCTGAGGTTCAGATAATTTAGCAAAAGCTGGGACCCTGCAACTCTTGCTGCAGTTGATGTTTTTTTAACCCTGTAGTTCAAATTATTATTTGAGAAAAAAACTTAATTATTAATGCACATCTTATAGAATTTGATTCAGGGAAACACCTTTTCTCTGTCTGTGCAAAGTATTGAGCTTGCAAAGCTTAAGATTAAGATGAGCTACACTCATCTGACATCTCTTATTTCGAGTTTGATTAAACCTTATTATATTGTGGTTTTGTTAATTTGTTCTTCAATAGGTGTTTTATGATACTGTTTAAAAACACGGATCTATGAAAGTGTTAAGTATTGTTCCATTTATATCATGATCTTTGTTTTATGGTATTCCATTCCCTTTAAAGAACTGAAGTGTTTTAACTGCCTTCTTAAAATATTATTGAGTCATTTTGTAAATTGAGTGTCAACTTGTTTTTTTTCTTTTTCATCAAGATGAATTTCTGTATGTGCGTGTGTGCACCAAAGTGAAAGGGTTTCGAGTTTGTGAATGAGCACGATTGTACTTTTTTGGACTGTGGTCCAAGCTGTTGTTTACATTCTAAATCTACAACTTGGTTTGTGAAACAGAAGACAACAGTCCCTCCAGAACTCCTCAGAACACATGTAGATGTTAATCAAAGCTAAGATATTGATGTAGTGAGAAACTGTGATTTGCGTGTTATCAAGGCAGAACAGGCAGTAATGTTAACCACCTCCCAGTTTCCTGCAAATTGGAAGTCAGGGCGTGAAATATCAGAGACCCAGGAAAATTTAGCTATTTGATTAAAATGCGTTTGGCACCTCTGTTACTTGACCACACGCCAGAGTGAAGATGTAATCTCCCAGTGATGTCATGCCAGGTTTAGCCCTAATCCAATTAAGGTAGAACACCTCGTGCAGTTCGTCCTCTCAGCTGGGGGCTCCTGGGAGATAATAAGGTTGGAGATTAAACTGAGAAGAGAGAGGTCTTGGGATTCTGGCAAGCCAGTATTGTGCTTACAGCTGAGCCCTTCCTGTCAGATACTGATAAAATAAATTATCTGTCACTGTCACCAGTATGACCACTCCCACTCTCATTTTGTTTCTCAGTGCTTGATGGTTAACCCAGATCTATCTAATTGATAGATACAGTTCATGAATGTTGAATTTTGTGGACCATTTTTGAAAAGGAATAAAAGTATGGTATCTTTTCAACTATACCAGTACTAGCTAATCACTCACATGTCGTATCAGGCTACTCGAGTTACACTGTAGACGTGGGGTTTCAGAATGTTTTGCCACGCCAGTCATCTTTTAGTCTGTAACCAATGGGACATTTTAAATTTGAGGGAGACCTGTGCCTACCAGTAATTTTTTAAAACAAGCTCTACTTACAAATAAATGTGTTCTAAGTGCATATTATGGATTCAGCAATAGCAATTATCAAAATATTCTGTTCCGTGTTTCGTTCCAAATAGAAGGCAGTAATACTACAGAACTAGTACTGTTGTACATTTCTGGGTGAGGTATGTGTGACTCCTGCAAGATGGAATCTGAATGTCTCATTGTGCATGTCGTGTCATGACAGGGCATGTACACAAGGAAAATCTAATTCATAAAACATTAGCCAAAATGTTCAGGAAGAAAGAAAAAACAAAGATGGTAAACCCAGCAGGTTATGCCAGTTTTTGCACTGAAGTGAAAGTTGAGGTCTCGCCCTGCTCAGACCCAGAGTGCTGGTGCCTTCATGATGATGTCACCTGCTGGCTCTTGTCCAGGCTGTGTTACATTGTCTCAAAACGTGGGGCCTGTTTTCCACTTCACCATTCTGTACATATCAAACTGTCCAAAGAGAAGGTAAAAGGGAGAGAGTAATGTGTTATTTTTCAAGTATGTGAACAATATTAGAATATAAAATAATAATATTAACATGATAAAAATAACAATTGAAAGTTGTCCTTTTACCTGAAGGCAAACAAAAGATTTTAGTGGATAGTTTCATTGTAATACCAGAGGTGAATTGGGAGCACAGAAAGGTGTTTTGTAAGACAGGAAAGAAGAGAAGTGTCACCTTTGTGTGTCTCTGTCTGAAAGTGGTGAGGGGAACATGAACTGAAACTAATAGCAAAAGCGTTAAACCTAGCACAGTTTATACTGTCCTGAAAAAGAAACTCTTTGAAAATACGGACAAAGGCCTGGATTTGCGATTGCACATGTATGTTTTGCACAAAATCAGGCAAAGTGAATCGAAAGGAAAAGGCAGAAATGTATCAGAGTTGATTAAATTGTGTTAATTGTCTTAGCATGGTTTTATTTTAATAATAAAACAATATTTCTTATTCATTTCCATACTATAAAACACGGATTGTGAGCATTTTGTATTGTATATTTGGTAATCATGCTTTTTATAGTCCTGAAACGATACAATACAATTAATTAGAATGTGCAAGACATCAGTTTCTAACAAATGAGCACACTAGCTGGTAGGGTGAGTAATTCTTGTAAGTGCTGTTATGGTGCCTGACCATCCACATGGTCTGAGTGGTAATTAAATCAAGATGAATGAAAGTGAGAGTCATTGAAGAAGCACAAGAGGAACCAGAGTTAAAGCAAACTCTCCTGGACAAACAGTATGACACCCTACGGATGGAGTGGTCTCAAGTGTTGTGTTGTTTGCTGTTGGTGTCCTGGTCTCTCAGTCTGGTTCGCAGTGCATTTTATCTCCTTGTCCATTCAGAATCGACGGATTTCTTCAGGAGCCTTGGCGACAGCAGCAAACAAGCATGAAATGCACTAGCTCAAAATTCAATTCAAAGTCATTCATGTCAGTTGTGAAATAACTATGAATTTGAGATAAAAACATAAGCCAAAGAAGAAATTCTTGAAGTTCAAAGCAAAGTATGAATCGCTTCTTCATGGCCTACGGCCCTTTCACAGAGCACAATCACCACTAGCTCCTTTTGGACACAATGTCCGTTTCAGCATGTATCCAAAGTTGTTTTTACTAACTGCCTTGATCGAATGAAACACTATGGCTGGGTGGAATGGTTTGCTTTGAGCGCCTATAAAAAATCTGATAGCAGACTGGGTTGCAAAATATCGAGCTTCCTGAAGAAGGGTTTTCGAGGCCGTGTTATAAATAGCATCACTGTAGTCAAAACTGGCGAGCAGATACTCGGGGACAAAGAAATGGTTTGTGATGAGAAATTTCTGTGGATAGAGTGTGCAGAATCCCTGAGGGAATGCAGTCGCTGCCACACTAACCTTACATAAAAAAATGATTGTGTAACAATTCACCAAGCCAAAGACAAACATTGCACAGAGATATCAAAAGATATGACCTACAGTTTATTTTTAAATGTCAGAAGGTTTGGGAAATGGGTTACTGAGGAATGTGTTTTTCTCCTTTTCTCAGGCTCTTGCCAGACACGCATGTTCAGTTCTGATACGTTTTGCTCGGGCCTTTTTCTGGGGTTATCATGGCTGTGACTCACTGCTGCAGTAGTACCAGGGTGCGTCTTGTATGATCCAGGCTGCAAGCTGATGCAGTGACACAACTGAGGATCGCACATCTCACAGATGACTCTGGCACTGTTCTTGAGGAAATGCCTGGGTTAGATGTGTATGAGTTTATTAAAAGTACATGATTTTCAATCTGTTGAATTAAAAACACAGGTCATCAGTGCGTTCTTGCAAATAAAAACAGGGGACAGATATGAGCCTGAAAATCCCATTTACTTGGATATCTAGTGTGCACATATTGTATGCATTTAAGAAAGTTACGAAAGCAAAGCATTGCTCTGAAGGCAGCGTATGTCCGTTCTTACTCTTGCCTCGGCCAGGCTGTCAAAAGAGTGAGCAGAAATGAAATAAGGACAGCTAGGGTTTGTCATGCACAAAAAAACAAGTGTGGAGTGATGAGTGAGTTTTAGTGTAGGTGCAAAAAAGAACCTTCTCTCAAAAACTGGAGGTTGAGGAAAAATATCAGCTTCTGTAATTACCCTATTTAGAGCAAAATGATGTCACCCATTCTCTTTCTGTTATCTCCTATCTTGTTTGTCAGGTTTGCCTGGCAAAGAATTCTGCTGACAGCTGCCTCCTCTGCAAGCTTGGTCCAGCCTGCATCAAAAAGTGCTGTCATGAAAATGAAAAATGTTCAGGATGGTTTGGGAATTTTATCTTCCCCAGCTTCTTTGCTTTAGTTTGTCTACCACTGGAAATAAAGGAAGCACTTGAGCTCAGCTGTCTGTGGGAATTAATTTGATTTTAAGGCCTTAAAAATGTATTTATGATCAGTTTATCACCCTTGATAAATGTGTATCAAGTTCCCCTTCTTGATGGGTATTCAAAGCGGGCATTGTCCTTCACTTAAATTAAATTATTTAACTCATTCCCAAATGTTGGAGTGATCTGGGACTAGAAATTAATTACAAAATTCAGCCCTAGAATTTGAGCACAGCATTATTTCTTAACAAAAGATCTGAACAGAAAAAAAGTAATAATAGGGCAATATGAGAAAAAAAAGTGTTATTGGGTAGTTTAAATGCAATAACCTATTGTTTTGTTGCACCAAATACACATTCGAATGTAAGAAATGTTACGAGTGAGAGGAGGGCCTTTGTCTTCTGGGTCATTTGCTTGTGAGTTGCTTACAAAGGCCTCATCCATTCTTTTCTTGTTGGATCCTAGAAAATTGGCTTCAGAAACTTGACGGAGCAGATTGCTCTAGTCACCTTCAACACCTTCAGAAATGCCTTCTGATTTCAGTCTCCAATCCACACCCGCAAAGTTTCCACTTGTGTTCCTCTTGTTTCCCCACCTTTCGGGATTTGACATCCTCGCGTCCCCTCGCAGTGTCCGCGGTGAGGCGGTAGACCTGCGCTGGAGCTGTCACTGAGCCTGCGTGTTTGTCCCTCGCCCGCAGGTGGACCTCAGCAGGAAGCAGGAAGTGGTGGTGTACGACCAGAGCACGAAGGACGCCAGCCTGCTGTCCTCGGACAGCTTCGTGCGCATCCTCCTGGGCAAGCTGGAGGGCAGCTTCCAGCGTGTGTCTCTGCTCACAGGTAGGCCAGCCAGTGCTTGGCGGGTAAATAGCGCCCTCCGTTTTTTCCCCTTTTGTTGTGCATGTGGGAGAAGGGGGTTCCTTTTGCTGCTTGCTTTATTTCCTGTCCGTTTTTCCAAGAGCGTGGTGTCCAGCCACTTGTAGTGGTGGTTCAGCGCACACTGCCAGTTTCTGTCTGCAGCAGAGCTTCTGCTAAAGGCAAACTCCCCCTTTTCCTTGATCCTTGATGAAATAATGCATTCAAATTGTGAAGGGGCTGGGGGATCTTTCCATGTGTTCCAGCCATGGGTAAAGGTTTTGCATGAACAACAGTGATCTACACTATTATAACTCCTGAGCGAGTGACCATGGCTTTTGTTCTTCAGTAAAGTGGGTTTGAAAGACCTGGCAAGCTTTGAGTAACACTCACAACAAAGCCGGTACTTTTGTGGGAGCGCTTAGACCTGTCTGCTTCGTATGCATTATATCAGTGTGACACATTTATTGCTCTTCTTGTTGTACAGTGTAGCTGAATGAAATTGCTGTTGTACTCGCTGCTTAAAAAAGCTCCCAGTTTGAAAAAGGCAAATGAAAAACAATAGCTTTGTGTGGTCTTAAAGGGAAAATGAATAGTCACATGCATGCCAATGGAATGCCAAGAGGTAGTTTGGTGATGTAAGCTGTGCAGCAGGAATCAGAATCCAGCAATTATCCCATCCAGAATAGCAAAAGGCTCATACTGCAGAAATGAACAGCCGCAGACGCTGTGAGGAAGATACAAGAATAAATAAACCTTTGTGGAAGGTCTGAAGGCTCTGTTCCAAGTCCGAACATTTCGTGTCTCTGACTTAACCCTGTGTGCTCTACAGGAAAGTAAACCTTTATTCTTCTGTCTTGTCGGTATTTGCAATAGTAGAGCATAATATTGTTTTAGGTTTGTTTTGCAGTCACATTTGCTCTTTGTAGTGATTTTGCTTTATTTTCTGACATTCCTTCTGTGAGGAACTGCTAAGGTTGAAAGGAGGGACTGTAATCGCAAATGTTAGTACATTTTCCCGTCAGGCCCAAAATAATAGCATAACTGTGAAAATATCGGGCGACACTTTTGTCAGATATTACTCCTAATAATTTTACAACCTAACCTACAACTGTAAAAGGATGAGTGACTGAGCGCTGACACGTTGTAATCATTGCTTCAGAATGTGATGATTATAGACTGTCTGAAGTAATGCCTTTATTCCTTGTATAAACAATGTGTAATGGGGCTGCCTATATACAACAGACTGCTTGAATTATGCTGTGTGTGTGCAGGAGGGTGTGTGTCTGTCAGCACAGAACAGGACCTGGAGGGGGGTCTGATAGAGCACATTGAGTAACCAAGAGCTGTGTGCTCACTGGAATGAGAATAATCAGTCATGCTGGGATGAAGTCATTGAATTCCTCTGCAGAAGGGAAGAGAGGGAGCAGCATGTGAGGCCAGCAGTGTGCCGTGTGCTGCCAGACAGCACAGGTGATAGACAATGTCCTGACGGTCAGGCTGGTGAAAGTCACAAGTCGTGAAGCACCACGTCATGGCCCGGGAAAATGAGGCTCTCAGATGTGGAACCCCTGTAGTTTTCATGTTGGCAAAATATTTTTCCTTTGCCTGACAATTATTTCTATTGCATTTTATGCCAACAAAAATACTTGTTGCATAATGTACATATTAAAATATATTAATACATATTCAAATGTGTCACAAAACATGTTAATTGTTTGCACACTGTTTAAACCGACAGCAATTTATGAAAAGAATTCTTTAACCTGTAATTCATATTAGCAGCTTTGACCCCCTGAAAGGATTAGCCTCCAGCCTTTGCCAGGAAAAGTATTGCCCGCGTAGAGGCTGCAAGAACTTTAAATTCTGTCTTCGAGATGTGCTGTTTGATCTCTTCCACGAAAGTGACAAAGAGAGGAAATAACTAGAGTACAAAACCATGTGTTCTGGCCTCTGTAGGTCACCTTGGGTCATTATGGTTGTCAGATAATAGTGTGTTATCATTTCATGTCTCACACAATAAAAATACTGGCTTCCAAGTGTCAGTAACTAGGTGGTAAGCTGGCATATTGCTGTTTACAATTAGTAGAGCTTAGAGGTGATTTCTTGACAGCGTATGGATCCTTTGCTCTTCTTTTTTAGCAGACTAGTGAAACAGTGTGCAGGAAGTAAAGAAATTGTGAGTCATTGTACAGTGCAGCCAAGGACAGGACAAGGTTATCTGCCTGGTGTTTGCCCAATAGTGAACTTTGTCTGCCTCTTTCTGAATCTCTTTGCTGCTTCTGCAGTGTTTGCTGATTCTCCTGTAAAAACATAAAGGCTACAAACCCAGAGGAGCCATTCGGCTCTTCCAGTCTGTCGGATTGTTAGTAGTTAATTGTTCCAAGGATCTGTCCAGACATTTCTTGATGAAGCCAGTAGATCCACTTCAACAACATGGCTGGGTAGCTTTGTCCGTTCTCCCCACAACCCTCTGTATGAAGAAGTGCCTCTTTTTCTAGGTTTTAAATGTCCTTCCATGTAGTTTCCACTTGTGTCCTATGGTTCAACTGCATTCTTAGAATGAATTCTTCTGACCTTGTAAGATAATGGCATGATTTAAAAGAAATGTCATTGCAGAGCCACAAAGATCATGTGGTTCTGAATTTTCCAAACAAACAAAGAATTAATTTCTCTTTAATTCCAAGGGCTTGTTCAAAAACAAATGTGTAGTGGCAAGATAGTCCTGTTTATTCAAATCCAAAACAGGCATGCATTTCAGCACACTCATTACAGTAGAGACAGCAATCGCTAAAAAAGGCAAGGAATTAATAATTACCCTCAAGACATTGTATATGTCCTTTCATACTGTAGTTCAGCCTGTGCAACATGATTCATTTGTCTGGCAGTTATGCAGCCATCTCAGGGGACAAACACCCAGGATTCATAATGCCTACTGTACCTTAGCATGGTCCCAGAAAACTGAACACGTTACACTTTCAAAAGAGAACTTGACCGGTAAATTATTTTTTTCTGGTTTGACTAAGTGCGAGATTCCCTTGAGAGTGAATAACAGGGAGAGGGCTTCAATCCTATTCACATTTTTCAATGAAAATAACAAATGCTCGCCCTACATTAACCCTGTTGACTTAACAGCACGACAGGACATGGTTTCCCAGATAACTGAACAGAAGGATGTGTATAAACATGAACGAGTGTGCCTCGAACACTTGCCCCCGACTCCTCAGCTTTGCCCCTCTTGTTCTGTGTCTGCGTCCCCCTCACTCCACAACCAGGCCAGCAGAAGACTTGCAGCCGTCAGGCCTCAGGGACAGCAAGGTCAGTGACATGGAGACCAGCTGCTCGGCTGCCAGGCCTCGCTCTCCTCCCCATCACAGAAGAAGGGAGCTTCCTCTGCAGAGGCACACTTTGAAACCGTTGGGAAGATTTTGAAAAGGACAGTGAAATCACCCTTGCATACAAAAAGAATATTTTACACATTTCTGTCGTTTTGCAATAAAAGTTTTGTGAGTTGTGTTTCCAGGGAGGTCAGATTAGTAAAGCAATCCTTGCTACATCCTGGGTAGTTTCATGTTTGCTTAATGGCTTGGAAGCCGTTTTGTTTTTAAGCCATAGAATTATTTTTAGAATCTTAACAGTGTTTTGAGAAACAGAGAGAGAGAATCGGGTCCCATTTTTCATTCTGGGACAGAGAGATGGAACTAACAGGTATTTTTTCTCTTCACAACAAGAACAACATTTCCACTTTCTTTTTTAACAGAACAGGTCTTTCATTTATTTTAGAGCTGTGACATGAAAAATCTCTTGGAAACCATGTGAGGCTGATTTCTTTGCAGTCTAATAACCAAAACCGGTAAAAGAGTTAGCTTAAAAAACTGCAGAAGTAACTCTGGTGCAGAGGCTGGTAGTGTACCAATTTGTACCTGTCAGCCTGAAGAGCAGTGAATGGACAGTACTCTATACTTCTCTGTTTTGGTCCGTTAGACAGACGAAAAGAACCGACTCCTGAAATCAAATTTAAATTGAGAAGCCATCACTGATCAGCCACCCCTGTAATTAAAAAGAAAGGATTTGTATCGTTATCTTGCTTTGGAGCTAATTGGTAGTTGAACCCCTCGGTGAAAATTAGCACACTAGACAGTTCACATTGTTCCCAGCAGAATAAGATGTTTAATCTCTGGCCTCACACATGAATCCCAGTATTTGCACTGCCAAAAGTACACATGGGTCCCGATTTCTGTGGTAATTACATCACTAATTGCTAATGGGATTGACAAACTGTTGGCATTATTAGTCAGGGATGTGCTTCCGGGGGAACTGTACGGGGCGATAGTTAACATTATTGCCACCATTGACATGCAGTTTATTTCCCTGTGCCCATTCTGTGCTCAGAAGGGTAAATAGGTTCTGATTTTAATTGGTAAGAGTCAAGCTGGGCCACTGTTATCAGCACTATTATTACCGGTAAGGCCTTAATTGAAAAACAGGGCTAAACGGAGCCTGGTTCCAAGACAATATTTCCTTGTCTCGGCTGATACCCTGGCTTCTTTCAAGAAATGGCTTAGTGAGATCCTCAGATCTGTTAGCTACTAATAGTTATAAACAGACTGGATGGGACAAATGGCATCCTCTCAATAATAACCTTTCTTATGTTCCTAACACTGTTTAATCTCACAGACCACAGCACACTCTTCAACAACAAAGTGCTTTTTTTAAGTGTGCTTTACTTTCTGGCCTTTTTAAAGCTCAGACGATGCAGACAGTGCCCTATCTATAGTTTGGTGCTTTTTACCGTTTTATTATTTGAAGTTTTTCTGCCCATGTGCATTTTCCCTCAATTTGCCTGTGTCCCCTGGCTGTGAACAATGATCTTTTTCCTAGTGCTTATTTTAATAAGGCTGGCCCAGTTGGTCAAACAGCCTTGGTTCAGTAATGAAACTGGCACAGCCCTGCTCGGTTGTTTTGGTCAAACTTGGCATTAATTT